AGTGCTGATACCTCCCAAAACGGGGTGTTGGGTGAGTGCATAGGCCTCTGTGGGCCTACAACCAGTGGACAATTCTGGATTGGAAGCGGGCGCCCCTGCTTGGAAAGGTCATCACAATGTTGTTTCGACGCTTCTCTCCTCCAACTTGCCGTTCTGATAGGGATCAGCTCTCCGGCGAGTGCTCCGCCCGACCCGACCGTTCGTCAGGGTTTGCCCGCCCGACCCGATCGCCCGTTAGAGTTACATGCGTGTGTTATTTCGAGCACTCGTCTTGCTTATGTCCCGCCCGCTCGACCAGAGTCGCCCGTTCGGATCCACCTGTCCGACCCGACCAGCCCATGACAGTTACGCGTGCGTGTTACTTCGAGCACGCGTCATACTTGAATGTCCGGCCCGCCCGGCTCGCCCGTCCGTTAGGGTCCCATCCGATCCAACCCGCCCGTCAGGATTATACGTTCGTGTTTCTCGAGCATGCGTCATACTTTAACGTCCCGCTTGCGTCGGCTTGCCCGACCCGACCCGCCCGTTAGTGTTACGCGTGCGTCTTTTTAAACATGCGTCATACTTTAATGTCCCGCCCGCCCGACCCGACCTTCCCGATAGGGTTTGCTCGCCCGAACCGATTCGCCCGTTAGCGTTACGCGTGCCCCTCCCATCCGCTCCCCCACGAGTGGACAAGTTTGGATTGGAAGCGGGAGCCCCTGCTAGGAAAGGTCATCACATTTATGTCCCGATGCTTCCCTTCTCCCACTTGCAATTTTGGTAGGGATCAGCACTCCGGCGAGTGCTGATACCTCCCAAAACGGGGTGTTGGGTGAGTGCATAGGCCTCTGTGGGCCTACAACCAGTGGACAATTCTGGATTGGAAGCGGGCGCCCCTGCTTGGAAAGGTCATCACAATGTTGTTTCGACGCTTCTCTCCTCCAACTTGCCGTTCTGATAGGGATCAGCTCTCCGGCGAGTGCTCCGCCCGACCCGACCGTTCGTCAGGGTTTGCCCGCCCGACCCGATCGCCCGTTAGAGTTACATGCGTGTGTTATTTCGAGCACTCGTCTTGCTTAAGTCCCGCCCGCTCGACCGGAGTCGCCCGTTCGGATCCACCTGTCCGACCCGACCAGCCCATGACAGTTACGCGTGCGTGTTACTTCGAGCACGCGTCATACTTGAATGTCCGGCCCGCCCGGCTCGCCCGTCCGTTAGGGTCCCATCCGATCCATCCCGCCCGTCAGGATTATACGTTCGTGTTTCTCGAGCATGCGTCATACTTTAACGTCCCGCTTGCGTCGGCTCGCCCGACCCGACCCGCCCGTTAGTGTTACGCGTGCGTCTTTTTAAACATGCGTCATACTTTAATGTCCCGCCCGCCCGACCCGACCTTCCCGATAGGGTTTGCTCGCCCGAACCGATTCGCCCGTTAGCGTTACGCGTGCCCCTCCCATCCGCTCCCCCACGAGTGGACAAGTTTGGATTGGAAGCGGGAGCCCCTGCTAGGAAAGGTCATCACATTTATGTCCCGATGCTTCCCTTCTCCCACTTGCAATTTTGGTAGGGATCAGCACTTCGGCGAGTGCTGATACCTCCCAAAACGGAGTGTTGGGTGAGTGCATAGGCCTCTGTGGGCCTACAACGAGTGGACAATTCTGGATCGGAAGCGGGCGCCCCTGCTTGGAAAGGTCATCACAATGTTGTTCCGACGCTTCTCTCCTCCCCCTTGCCGTTCTGATAGGGATCAGCACTCCGGCGAGTGCTCCGCCCGACCCGACCGTTCGTCAGGGTTCGCCCGCCCGACCCGATCGCCCGTTAGAGTTACACGCGTGTGTTATTTGGAGCACTCGTCTTGCTTAAGTCCCGCCCGCTCGACCAGAGTCGCCCGTTCGGATCCACCTGTCTGACCCGACCAGCCCATGACAGTTACGCGTGCATGTTACTTTGAGCACGCGTCATTTTTGAATGTCCGGCCCGCCCGGCTCGCCCGTCCGTTAGGGTCCCATCCGATCCAAACCGCCCGTCAGGATTATACGTTCGTGTTTCTCGAGCATGCATCATACTTTAATGTCCCGCCCGCGTCGGCTCGCCCGACCCGACCCGCCCGTTAGTGTTACGCGTGCGTCTTTTTAAACATGCGTCATACTTTAATGTCCCGCCCGCCCGACCCGACCTTCCCGATAGGGTTTGCTCGCCCGGACCGATTCGCTCGTTAGCGTTACGCGTGCGTATTATTTCGAGCACGCGTCGTACTCTAATGATCCGCCCGCCCGGCCCGACCCGCCCGTGAGGGTCCGCTCGTCCGACCCCCGACCCGACCAGCCCGTCAGGGTTACGCGTGCGTGTTTTGTTGAACATGCGTTGCGTCACACTTGACATTTCCGCCCGCCCGACCCGACCCGCCCGATTAGGTCCGCCCGCCCGACCCGATCCGCCCGTTAAGGTTACGCGTGCGTGTTACTTAGAACACGCATAATAATTTAATGTTCCGACCGCCCTGCTCGCCCGTTAATGTCCACATCCGAGCCGACTCGCCCGTTGCGGTTACGTGCGCATGTTTTCTAAACATGCACCATATTTTAACGTCCCGCCCGCCCGACCCGACCCGCCCGTTAGGGTCCGCCCGCCCGTTCCGATCCGCCCGTTAAGGTTACGCGTGCGTGTTACGTCGAACACGCGTCATACTTTAATGTTCCGACCGCCCGACCCGCTCGCCCGTGAAGGTTCGCATCCCGTCCGATGCGCCCGTCAAGGTCACGCGTGCGTGTTTTCTGAACATGCGTTAAACTTTAGTGTCCCGCCCGTCCGACCCGACCCGCCCGTTAGTCTCCGCTCGTCCGAACCGGTTCGCCCATTAGCGTTGCGCGTGCTTATTACTTCGAGCACGCGTCATACTTTAATGATCCGCCCGCCGTTCAGGTCCGCATCCGATCCGACTCGCCCGTCAGGGTTACGTATGCGTTTCATTTTTCGAGCATGCGTCATACTTGAATGTTCCGCACGCCCGACCCGACCCGCCCATTAGTCTCCGCCCGCGCCCGTCAAGGTTACGCGTGCGTGTTTCATTCGAGCTCGCGTCATACTTTAGTGTCCCGCCTGCCCTGCACGCTCGCCTGTTAAGGTCCGCATCCGATCCGACCTGCTCGTCAGGGTTGCGCGTGCGTGTTCTTTTTCGAGCATGCGTCATACTTCACTGTCCCGCACGCCCGACCCGACTCGCCCGTTAGGGTACACCTGCCCGATCCGATCCGGCACCCTAGCGGATGTCTCGAGCGGCGGCGCTCGAGTTGCGAGCATGTTTCGAGCGGCAAGCGCTCTCGAGCTATTCAACCGATTCGGGCTTTTCGGACTTTTCGGGCTTTTCGGGCTTTTCTGTCCTTCGGGTTTTTCGGGTCAACCCGGGCTTTTCGGGATTTTCTGGTGACCTGGGCGCCCATTCGGGCTGTTTGGGCTACTCGGGCTACCCTGGCCAGAGCTGCGAGGATGTCTCGAGCGGCGACTTTCGAGTTGCGCGGATGTTTCGGCATTTCGGGCTTTTCGGGCTTTTCGGGTCAACCCGGGACTTTTCCTGGCTTTTCGGGCTTTTCTGGTGACCCAGGCGCCCATTCGGGCTGTTTGGGCTACTCGGGCTACCCTGGCCAGAGCTGCGAGGATGTCTCGAGCGGCCACGTTCGAGTTGCGAGGATGTTTCGGCATTTCGGGCATTTCGGGCTTTTCGGGCTGATCGGGTCAACCCGGGGCTTTCTGGCTTTTCGGGCTTTTCGGGTCAACCCAGTTAGGGACACCCCTGGCCGACGCCACTCTGCCACCTAGCCAGTTGAAAACCGCCAAATCCAGGGCCCCCCATCTTTACTAGTAAAACATGTCGCAAAGTCGGCGAATTTCGTTTGTGAACATGGACATGGTGACGACCATGTGGCAAATGCGTGGCAGCAATGGGATGGGGCGCGCATTCCGCGCGAAAGGCCGAAATGTCGCTCTCGCCTCTGCGCTGCGCTCATGTTTCTCGAGAGTTGAGCTGCCGCTGGAGCGCGGCGCACATTTTTCGCTCGCCACTTCGTCGACGCGCGAGTGGGCGAACATGTAGCACTCGCCTCGGCACCGCGCAGATTTCGTTTGAAAATGGCGCTCCCGCTTCGGGGCATCGAATTTTTGCACTCGTCAATGTTTTTGGGCCCCGCGCGAGTGGAGGACTTGTCGCCCTCGCTCAGGCTCCGTGCGCCGTTCGCTCGGATGTGGTGTTTTCGCGCTGGCGCGGCGCATGGTTCGTTCGCGGCGGGTACGAGAGCAGTAGCGGACGCGGCGCCGCGCGAGAGCGGGCGAAGTGCCAACCTCGCCCAAGCGCCGCGCACCACTCTGCGAGCGAAGCTGGCGATGCTGTGCCAGCGCGGCGCATGCTTCGTTTCCGCCGCGCCCATCGGAAGTTCTGCCGCCCCCGCATTCGCGCGGCCCGCGTTTTTTTTTTTTTTTTTTTTTTTTTTTTTTTTTTTGTTGTTCCTTTTTTTTTTTTTTTTTTTTTTTTTTGCCGAGGCGTTCACACAGATGGATAACATATATTGGACTGATATAGTTGGCCCAAGGGAAAAGGAATCCAGAGGCTGCGCCATTCCGCATGGTAGCGGAACCTGATTGTGCCCGCGGCCAGGCTCCAGCGTTCTCGCGCGTAGATGTCCTCACTGCAAAATGTGTTGGTTCGCGTCGTGGCGATGGAAGGCGTTGTTGTCCAGCAGAGAGAGAGAGAGAGAGAGAGAGAGAGTTGCAGTTGCAGGAGGCACGAGCAGCAGCGACAGGAGTCCACCAAGGAGCTCAAGAAGATCACCAGAGAGCGCCTAGTAGGGAGTCACTCGTAGACACGAAGCTGCTCGGCAAGCCAGACAAGTTCTCAGGGGAGTTAGATGAGAATGCGAAGTATCGAGGTGGAGTAACGTGGGAGAATTGGAGCTTTGTCCTGTCGGCCTGTTGCATGGCGGTGGGCCCGCATATGGCAGAGTTGATGCGTGATGCGGCGAAGGCAAATGCTGAGCCGATCGAACACGGAGATTTTTGATGAGGACGCCCAGGGAGTGAATACGAACTTGTACTACATATTAGTCCTGACCTGCAAGGACAAGGCGCAGGGCATAGTGAAGAGTGTCGCAGCTGGAGAGGGACTGGAAGCATGGATATTGTTGTGTGTTGAGTTCGAGCCGAAGGTTCCCTCCAGGTTCTCAGGCATGCTGGATGCGATATTATACCCGATGATGCAGGAGCATGTCCCGATCAAAGGCATCGTTTCCTGGGAGACTATGGTGCAGGGGTATGAGGAGCAAACGGGAGAGAAGGTGATGGAGTCGATCAAGAAGTCAGTGATCAGCACCCGCCTAGTACCGCAGAAGCTGAGAGCACCTGATGTTGAATGCGACCAGGTTTACTACGTGCGCGTTGGTGAGAGCAGAGGTGCTGAACTACCTGAGATCAAAACAGGCGGCGCTGGCACTCAGCGGGCCTGCGCCGATGAAGGCAAAGACAACAGTGGTGATGGTTATGACCAGAGAGGCGCCCCGCAGTGCAAGTATTGCTTGAAGAAGGGTCACGCGCGCAAGGAGTGCAGGAAGGCAACGCAGGACATTGGGGATGGTAAGATCAACAAAGACGGGATCCGAAGGATTAGTAAAAGCAACGGCAAAGGCGAGGGCAATAATGATAAGACGAAGGCGCCGACGCCCAAGCCCACGGACAAGGATGCTAGTTATTGGGGTCCAGACTACGACGCCGAAGAGGGCTGCGTCTTCATGGTTGAGACTAGCGAGGACGAGGAGTTTGATCACAATGAGAAGTTAGATCACAATGGGGAGACGGAGAAGGAGCCCAATTACGACGAGCACGAGAATGACGAGAGCGTTCTGATTCCGATAAATGAGTTTTACCAGGAGGACGGTGGGAATATCGAGATTATGGTCGATTCATGCGCGGCGAGAAGTGTATGCCCACCGGGTGTTGCACCGCAGATCCCGCGTGCAGATTCAGAATCGCCACCACTACGACATTCGGATGGTGCCCAGATCTATGGCGGTGGATGCAAGACGGTACGTATGGAAGCATCTGGCACCAAGCAGCCGGTGCGAGGTCAGTTCGACGTCCGAGACGTACACAAGGCGATCATAGCAGTCAGCGACCTGGCGTAGGGGTCACAGGGCGTGTGGCTCGATGACGATGGAGGCGCAGTGCTTGACCCCACGATGCGCAATCATATCAATGAGCTGATAAAGAAGGAAGGTAGCAAGTCGCTCAAGCTCTCGGAGAGGCGTGGCATCTACAGCTTCGATGTGGGCGCGCGTTCGCTCTGCCCACTCCCAGTGGCAGAAGATCAGGTGCCGGAGCCCCTGGGGCCGCTGGAGAGCGAGGAGGCGCAGCTGCCCAGGAGGAGGAAGGAAAGGTGCAAGCGGGCAGCGGGGGAGATCGCCACCCACGAGAGGACTCATATGCCATTTCGTGACTGGTGTGAGTGGTGTCTTTGGGGCCGAGGTAAGTGGGATGGTCGAATGAAGGCTAATCCCGACGAAGCGCCGACGATGTCTGTGAGCAGCCTGTACTACTGCTTCGTGAACGCCGAGACGGGGGCGGACATGGTCGCGACCTTGGTTATGGTGCAGAAGCCAGAGGATTGCGCAGCGGCGATCGTGGTGATTCACAAGGGGCCCAGCGAGTACGTCAATTCAGCTGAGGGTTTTTAGATTGACGTCTGGGGCTCAGCGGATATCATGCTGAAGGGCGACCAGGAGGCATCGCTACAGGCAGTGATCACGGCGATGAAGAACAGGAGGAAGCGCCGCGCACAAGTGGAGAAGGCACCGAAGGGGTCACATCAGGGCAACGGGGCGATCGAGAACGCAGTCGAGAGAGTGGAGTCGCTGTTACGGACGCTGCGCAGCGAACTGGAGGCGAACCTGGGCTTGAAGATCGAACCGAACAGTTTGATCATGCCGTGGCTGGTCAGACACGTGGGTTACTTGCTCACAAGGTTCGTGATCAAGACTGACGGCAGGACAGCTGGGGAGCGACTGGGGCGTGCCGAGTTCGAATCGGAGTTGGGGGGGATAGGCGAGACGATCGACTACAAGATCCAGGCTATGGGCTATTCCAAGCTGGGGCCGAGATGGGGTGGAGGTATCTTCTTGGGTAGACGCGGCGAGAGTGGCGAGATCGTCGTGGGAAAGGCGCGAGGCATCGAGCACGCCAGGACTATGAAGTTAAGAGGCAAGGATGATCGATACAACGAGGAGGTGTACGACGCGTTTATAAGAGTTCTGTGGGGCCCAAGAGGCTTGGATGTAAAGGGTCAGAACGAGGTGGTTCGACGGAGGAGGTGCATCGCGAAAGCGCTGATTGAGGGGCATGGGCCTGCAGACGGGCTTGCAGCGTGCGAGGGGAACTCATCAATGCACAACGCGAGGTGCAGGACTAGGTTTGCGAAGATCTTCGACTAGGCGGAACCTGCAACAGAGAGTGCGATTCCAGCGCAGCCCACGCAGCCCGCGGGAGATGCAGCGCCAGTTCAAGCTGAGCAGCCACCCGTGGAGGCCCAAGTTCAAGAAACAAGACTGGAGACAGCAGAGTCACGAGCTCCCGGTACTCCTGTGGGTCACCGCTGGGGCGGAGTGCAGGATCAAGACGCGGAGATAAAAGGTGACGCGATCGTGGCAGGCGGGGATGTAGCACCTGCGACGCCAAGGCTGGATGGGGCCCATGGAGATAGGCATCATCATGTCGATCACGAGAGAAGAGTACCGACACGTTTGCGAGGAGACCGAGCCGAGAGTTAATTGCGAGAAGCTGGTTGGAGATGGAGTTTACAGGGGCGCATTTGCGGGAGAAGAGTTGCTTGAGGAGCTGGTGGTCAACGGAAGGGCGAAGGAGATGGAGAGCATGGAAGAGTTCGAGGTTTTCAAATGGGTACCGTTCGAGGATTTGATGGAGCCGTTCGACACCAAGTGGATCGACCGCAAGAAGTACGACTTACAAACGGGTGAGTGGATCGTGAGGAGCAGTTGCGTTCACAGAAGGTACAGCGACGGAGCCGACTTCACGAATTTCGCAGGGGCACCCGCACTATGGGCAGTCAAGTTGGTTATATCACGGGCAGCTTCTTTGAGGTCTACTGACGCACGTTATCAGAAGTTCGGGCTCTAAGACATATCAGTCGTGTTTTTCGCGCGTCGCTGAATGGGCCTCAGTACTGCTGGCCGCCGCCAGAGCAACGGTGGCCAGGTATGCTGTGGAAGTTGACGAAGGCCATGTATGGGGCGCCAGAAGCATCGATGTTATTTCAAGGAGAAGTCCGAGACAACTTCAAGCATCACGGGTATGAGGGGTTAAAGACGGTGTGTTGCTTGTGTTACCACCCTGGGAAGGACTCTCTATGCGCTGGACATGGAAACGGTTTTCTGGTGGAGGCCTACGGTGAGGAACTGGATGAGTTCGATGAGCTGATGGCGAGCAGCTTCAAGGTCAAGCCACAACCTCGAGTGGGGCCAGGCGGAGCAGCGGAAGGTGCGTTTCTCAACGGGGCTCTGCTCTGGGCCGAGGAGGGCTTCGGCACTTTGCCCGACCCGAAGCTGATCCAGAATATGGTGGAGTTGCACGACTTAAAGCAGGCGAAGCTGGCGGAGACACCGAGTTCAAAACGCGCTGCGAAGGGCGCCCGGGAGGCTGCAGACCCAGTTGGACGGCAGAGCGCTATGATATATCGCAGTTGTGGAGGCATTGCTTAGTGCATGGCAGGAGACCGGTGGGATATCCAAGAAGCTGTTCGAGAGCAGCGTTGTTCCTATAACGGCCCGAGGGTGAAGCACCTCCTGAAGCAGAAGAGGCTGGTGCGGTACTTGAAGGGGGCAGTGGACATAGTGATTTTATACCCATGCCAAGAGGCCACGTCCAAGGTGACGGTGTCGACCGTCGCGGACTGGGCAGGACTGGAGGCGACATGCAAGAGTATTTCATCAGGAGGTCCTTGATTGGGCATTCACCTTCTGGGAAGTTGGGTTCTGTCTCAGGCGACGGTGGCGTCATCGAGTGGAGAATCGGAGTTCTATGCGATGGATTCAGGCACGGCCAGGGACTTCACATCGAGCGCGCGCTGCGAGAGATGGCGCAGATGAGGAGCGAACAGATTCAGATAACCCTTGTTTTACAGACGGATTCGGCAGCAGCGGAAGGTATGGTTCACAGACGCAGAATTGGACGTGTCAGGCATCTACAGACGAGGCGGATACGGCATCGAGATCTGGTACGCAACGGAGAGATGGAGGTTGAGACGGTAAACGCGAAGGAGCAGGTTGCGGACATCGGGACCAGGCCGATGGACAAGGATACGCTCAGGAGGCATATGAAGTCGCTCGGGCGGATCTCAATCACCACCGCGAGCTTCAAGAGTCCCGAAGTGCTGGTGAAGGTGTTGGTCGCTATGGCGAGCATCCCAGTTACAGGTGCCACGGTCGACATCAACGTGAGCATGGCGAACGAGTTCAGTTGGTGGGGCTGTTTATCGCACCTGCTGGTAATGATGGTTGCAGTGGCCGTGAGCTATTATGTGTTTGTGGTGAAGGTAAAGACAGAGGGAGTTCTGGAGGAGACGCGGGCTACGCCGTTTCGACCAATACAAGACGAAACGCAATATTCGCTAGGACCACCGTCGAAGAAACGAGGCCGTGACGTTTCGCCCGAGTCGGGGGTGCACGCGAAGAAGAAGATGAGGTCCGTGATTGTGCAGGGACCTGTGACGTACACGAGCAGGAGTAAGGACCACAGATATGCTGATGGTCGATACACCCCCGTGTCATCACAAGACTGGGGAGCCTGGAGTTGGAGTTAGATATGGTGCACATGCCCTGGATGATCTGTATGCGATATCATTTTTGTTGAGCAAGGCTGGCTTGTTCAGATGCTTTACGATTGATATTGGTCACCTCCCGATGTCGTAGCGCGCAACATGATAACGCTTCAAGGCCTAATGTTTACGTTGAAGATTGGTTTCTTGTACCATGGTTATTTCTTTTGCATGGTCGAGACTGATGAGTTTCGACACGTACCGTGTAATTTAACTGGTGAGGCTGACGTGCCCGCCAGCGTGCCCAGCGGCCTCGAGGAGGGCTGCAGGATATCCCCCATATGGAGAGCATATATTTGATTGATATATTTGGCTCAAGGGAAAAGGAATCCAGAGGCTCCGCCATTTCGCATTTTTTCCACATCCTGAATGGGTTCTTGTTTTCCCAGAACATCCTCTCCGTCTCCCTCCCGCCTCCCGCCCCACCTCTCCAGGGAGGCCCCGCCTGAGCGAGGAGGGTACCGGAAACCCATACCATTTACTAGGTTTCGTGCCCCTCCCGCCCCTCCAGGGGGGCCACGCCTGAGCGAGGAGGGTATTGGAAACCCGTACTATTTACATGGTTTCGTGCCCTTCCCTCCCCTCCAGGGAGGCCCCGTCTGAGCGAGGAAGGTATCGCAAACCCATACTATTTACATGGTTTCGTGCTCTTCCCACCCCTCCAGAGAAGCCCCGCCTGAGCGAGGATGGTATCGGAATCCAGTATTATTTACATGGTTTCGTGCCCTTCCCAACCCTCCAGGGAGGCCCCGTCTGAGCGAGGAGGGTATCGGAAACCCATGATATTGACATGGTTATGTGCCCCTCCCACCCCTCCAGGGAGGCCCCGCCTGAGCGAGGAGGGTGTCGGAAACCAATACTATTTACATGGCTTCCGTGCCTCTCCCACCCCTCCAGGGAGGCCCCGCCTGTCTAGGAGGGTATCGGAAACCTATGATATTTATATGGTTTCGTGCCCTTCCCACCCCTCCAGAGAAGCCCCGCCTGAGCGAGGAGGGTACCGGAAACCCTTACTATTTACATGGTTTCGTGCCCCTCCCACCCCTCCAGGGAGGCCCCGCCTGAGCGAGGAGGGTATCGGAAACCCATGATATTTACATGGTTTCGTGATCCTCCCACCCCTCCAGAGAAGCCCCGCCATGAGCCCCGAGCGAGGAGGGTATCGGAAACCATACTATTTACATGGTTTCGTGCCCCTCCCACCCCTCCAGGGAGGCCCCGCCTGAGCGAGGAGGGTATCGGAAACCATACTATTTACATGGTTTCGTGCCCCTCCCACCCCTCCAGGGAGGCCCCGCCTGAGCGAGGAGGGTATCGGAATACCATACTATTTACATGGTTTCGTGCCCCTCCCACCCCTCCAGGGAGGCCCCGCCTGAGCGAGGAGGGTATCGGAATACCATACTATTTACATGGTTTCGTGCCCCTCCCACCCCTCCAGGGAGGCCCCGCCTGAGCGAGGAGGGTATCGGAAACCATACTATTTACATGGTTTCGTGCCCCTCCCACCCCTCCAGGGAGGCCCCGCCTGAGCGAGGAGGGTATCGGAAACCCATACTATTTACATGGTTTCGTGCCCCTCCCACTCACATGGGTGAGGAGGAGGGGAGAACATTACCTATCCATCTCACGTCCTGCTGCTCCCACTGAGGATGGTGAGGGGGAGGGGGAGTTCTGCGATGAGGAAGGCTTCATCATGATGATGGTGATGGCGATGTTTATGCTGCTGTTCACGATGACGATGACGATGACGATACCCTCCCCCTTCCAGCGGGGCCCCGCCAGAGCGAGGAGGGTATCAAGAAACCGTACTATTTACAAGGCTTCGTTTCCTGAGCACCTGTCCTC